GGGAATTGTAGCACTACACACCTGGTTGCGCTGCTCGGTGCACTTTACCTGTGTGAGAAGCGACACACTTCGCTGCTCTTGAGCTGAATTGCCATTGTGAAACGAGGTCACCTGAAGCTTTTCCAGTTTAATCATCGAGTGTAACTGGAGCCGCAATAACCGGGCCCAGTGGCTGGCAGGCAATTGATACCCCTTAGGATTAGGCAAGGAGCCAGTCCTCATTGATTTCACCTGAAAGGGCTAAAGTGCAGACGCCAGCTGACCTGTCGGGACAGCTGGAAGTTGGCTTGTTACCTCTGACGAGGCTTCACTGTGACCATTTCTTTTTAACTCTTGGGAAAATAGGTGTTTTAATCCTAACCTCAACCCTGTGAGGTAGACCTGCTATTCTTGGTTTTTAACCTCCTCCTAGGATTAGAATAGGCAGAATACTAAGAAACGGAACAACAGAGTTAGAAGGGACCTTGGAGGTCGTCTAGTCCAACCTCCCGTCTGAGCAGGAGACCCTGGAAAACAGAAAAACAGAGTTGGAAGGGACCTTGTAGGTCATCTAGTCCAACCCCCCACCCAAGTAGGAGACCCTACCCCATTTCTGACAGATGGCAGTCCAATCTCTTCTTGAAAGCTTCCAGGGATGAAGCTCCCACAACCTCCGAAGGCATCTTCTGTTCCATGGGTTGATTGCTCTTACAGTCAGAAAACTCCTCCTTATTTCCAGGTTGAATCTCTCCTTGTTCAGTTTCCATCCATTATTCCTTGTCTGGCCTTCGGGTGCCTTGGATAATAGATTGACCCCTTCCTCCTCCTCTCTCTGGCAGCCCCTCAAATATTGGAAGACCCCTATCCTGTCTCCCCTGGTCCTTCTCTTCCCTAGACTAGCCAGGCCCAGTTCCTGCAACCGTTCTTCATATGCCTTAGTCTTCTGTCCCCTAATCATCCTGGTTGCTCTTCTCTGCACTTTTTCTAGAGTCTCAACATCTTTTTTATAGTGTGGTGACCAAAACTGGATGCAGTACTCTAGGTGTGGCCTTACTAAGGCTTTATAGAGTGGTATTAGTACCTCCCTTGATCTCGATTGTATCCCTCTGTTAATGCAGTTTAGTATTAAGTGAAATGTTTGTTAAGGGAGTTTTGCCCCGTTTTGCCACCTTTCTTACTACTGTTGTTATGTGAATCACCGCAGTTAATAGTAATCCGGTTGTTAAGTGAATCTGGCTTCCCCATTGATTTTCCTTGTCAGAAGGTCGCAAAAAGGGATCGTGTGACATTGCAACCGTCATAAATACGAGTCCATTGCCAAGCGTTTGAATTTGGATCACGTGACTATAAGGATGCTCATAAGACGGACGTAAGTGTGAAAACTGGTCCAAAGTCACTTTTTTTCCAGTGCTGTTGTGTCTTTGAATAGTCGCTAGATGAACTGTTGTAAGTTGAGGACTACCCGGGTATATATTTTGACGTAAAACGAATAGGTGGGATCCAGAGAGACACACTGGGGGCGTGATGACCCAGGGCGTGGCACAACAATAACAAAGTCACAAAATTAGATAAATTCCCTTTAATATCTCCAACTTGGTCCAGTTATCCTCGGCTGGAGATCAAACTCTTTCAAAAACAGTCTACAAAGGGGAAAAATGCAGTCCAAACCCAGAGTACAGATAAAGTAGAAATAAAAAAACTAACACAAAGCACACTGAAGTAAATTAACACGACAGGCCAGGATGATAAATTGCAGACTTTCAAAGGATAATGCAGCACCTACAGTTGGGAGGACGCCAAAACCCAGATAAGCCTCGACAAAGATAATGCACGCTTTGCTTCCAGCAAGGGAGCTGTGTGCAAACGTCCTTCTTATATCCTGTTCTCCCAGCTGCAACTAATGAAGGGGATCAGGGCCCTTTTCTCTCCCGTAAGCCACATTGCTCCCTTCTCCGTTCCTCCCTGCATGCTTTAGGATGAAGAGGGGTTGGCCCTGGGTCTTCCTCTGAATGCCCAGCCAGACTGTCCCCTTCCTCCCTTTCTTCCACAGCCAGTGGAGCCACACTCCCACTCCCAGTCAGTTGCTCAATCTCCCCCTCAGAATCAGACTCCAACAAGGGCATGACAGGGGGATTGTTATGAAGGCAACGCGGGATTGGCACGCCAACTCACCTGTTTGGAAACGACACTGCTATGCCGATACAGACAGGCTTTGTGTAAAGATACGAGAGGTGAGAAATAAGAGCCGGAGTATTAAAAAGAATCCATTGAAAGCAAATTAGTTTTTCCCTCTCCTTAGTAGAAAAGGCGCATAAACCACCATCTGTGTGTCTTTCCCCCATTCCTGGGATCAGAAGCACATTTTTTAACGAAGAAATTTCCCCGTTTTACTGAATTACAACGGAGATGTTGAGATTCTAGTAAGAGTGCAGAGAAGAGCAACTAGGATGATGAGGGGACTGGATGCTAAAACATACGATGAACGGTTGCAGGAACTGGGCCTGGCTGGTCTAGGGAAGAGAAGGACCAGAGGAGACATGATAGCAGTCTTCCAATATTTGAGGGGCTGCCCCAGAGAGGAGGAGGGGGTCAAGCTATTTTCCAAAGCACCCAAAGGCCAGACAAGGAATAATGGATGGAAACTGATCAGGGAGAGGTTCAACCTGGAAATAAGGAGGAATTTTCCACCAATGGAACAGAAGTTGCCTTCGGAAATTGTAGAAACTCTGTTAATCTATAATCTGGTGACTGGCCCGAAATCATCCAGCCAACTTTTCTCGGAATAGGGGAAATAAGTGTCTTCTCCAGAAATTGTCCCTCTTTGCAAGACGGATCAAAGTTTTGAGAGGAAGGAATAGAATTAGATTAGAATAGAATAAAATAGAATAGAATAGAATAGAATAGAATAGAATTAGAAGAGAAGAGAATAGAATAAGGAATAGAATAGAATAAGGAATAGAATAGAATAAGGAACAGAATAGAATAGAATAAGGAATAGAATAGAATAGAATAAGGAATAGAATAGAATAAGGAATAGAATAGAATAGAATAGGATTCTTAGTTGGCCAAGTGTGATTGGACACACAATTTGTCTTGGTGCAAATGCTCTCAGTGTACATAAAAGAAAAGATACATTTGTCAAGAATCATAAGGTGCAACACTTAATGATAGTTATAGGTTACAATAAGGAATCAAATCATACTAGGAAACATTCCATATAAATAACAAGGATACAAGTGACAAAGTTACAGTCATACAGTCCCAAGTGGGAGAGGATGGGTGATAAGGAGTGATGAGAAGATTTAACAGTAACAGTAGTGCAGACTTCGTAATAGTTGAACAGGGTTGAGGGAATTATTTTTTCAGGAAGGAGTGATCCTTTTGGCCTTTCATATTTTGGGGGAATGGGAGCTGCAAACTCTCCGAAGAGCTTGAACCTTTGGTCTTTTTCGGAACAGCGTGTCGAACCAACAGGTTTTGCAGAATGCAGCTCCATGTTAAGCCAGGACATCGTGTAACATTGTGTTCCTTGAGTTTGTCAGTTGATCCTGTTAGCGATGTTAATTTCTAATACTGTATGTGAGGATATCGGGCATTGGAGCCTACCAAGGACACACTATGCCCCATATGGTGAGTTGAAAGTTGTTGTTTTTTCTCTTCTTTTATAAATTTAGACAGCCACCGGTCTAGATGCGTGATCCTGGGCATCTACCCGTTGAAAAGAGAATTTTAAAAAAATCAAGTTTAAAGCAGACAGAGATAACACAAAATAACGTAGCAGCCAAGAATGATTATGATCGTTACTTATTATGTGAGTTAGAGGCAGAATTAAATTGCAATGCTCAGGAGCATCTTGAAACAGCTGCCTCTACCTTTCAAATTCCAGATGTGCATCCCTTACAGTGGTTTTGGCAAGTTCTGCTTCCCCAACTGAAGTGCTTCTGTCGGTTGAATTAAATAATGTGAAACCTGTTTCCCAGGGGAGGAATAAAAGCAAGTTTTGTTTTGCTGTAAGATTGTAAGAAAAAGACAGATCTCTACACCTGATCTCCTTTTGTGATTGAAGGAAAGTGACTTTTTTCCCCCAGGATGTTTCTGGTTTCATCTGTGTTTGGGGGTAGAGAGAGAGAAAGACTTAAAAAGCTAACCGAAAAAATTGACTGAAACGTTGACTGAAAAAAAATGTTGGATTTTCCTTCTGCAGAAAAATAAGGGAGTCCATTTAAAGCCAAGAATTGCCGGCTTTTGATCTGAAGGCTCCTGATTTGTCAGAAAAAGGAAAACTACGGTTTTGTGGTTTCATTCTTTTACTTAAGAGAGAGCGAAAGACGTTCTCAAGGAGAGAAGCAACCTAGAACTAAGGAGAGCTGTCCTGACGGTGAGAATAATTAACTAGTGGAACAGAAGTTGGGATTGCTCCATCAAGAGAGGTTTTTAAAAGATTGGACAGCCATCGGTCTGAAATGGTGTAGGATCTCCTGTTTGAGCAGAGGGTTGGACTAGAAGATCTCCGAGATCCCTTTCCAACTCTATTATTATGTTGAATTCCAATGGCCAAAGGACTGGTGTGTGTGTGTGTATGACTTGATAGCAGACTTTCTATATTCGAGGGGTTGCCACAGAGAACCTCTTCTCAACCTCTTCTGCAAAGCCCCAGAAGGCGGGATAAGAAACAACGGATGGAAACTAATCCAGGCGAGAAGCAACCAGTGAGAACTATTAAATCCATGGAATGGCTTCCCTTCAGAGGTTGTGGGTGCTCCATTACTGGAGGTTTTTAAGAAGAGATTGGACAGCCCCTTGTCTGGACTGGTATAGGCAGGGACTCCTGCTAGACTAGGGGGTTGGACTACAAGACCTCCAAGGGCCCTTCCAGCTCTCTTCTGTTATTCCATTATATCTTGTTGCAATCGCTATAAGGCCTAACAGTAAATGCAGAGTTCTGTTTTGCATTTTGGAGCGAAGCTTCCTGGCTCAATCGTGGCCGAGGATGACTGCCGAGTGTTTTTGCTTCCCGGCAGGTTCTGCGTTGACATGTCAGGCCTGGTCCATCTGCTGCGGAACCTGAGAACATCCGACTACCTTCGCCTGCCCTGTAGATTTCCATGAGGGCAGGACTCGTGCTCGCCGCGCGCTTGGATCGAGGCCCCCAGTATGGCCTGCCCTTGTCTGAACTTTCCCAGCGGCCTCAAGGGGATGTCTCGGAAGAAGACCCTCCTTCTCTTCCTGCTGGCCTTCAGCACCGGCACTCTGGTCCTGCGCCAGAGCGCCCACTTCAGCTGGTAAGTTTCCGAGGAGGGGTCTCCAGCGAGGCTGGAATAAGGGGGCGATGGGCCCAGGCCAGGGGCTTGTCAAAAAGGAGGAAAGTTGCAGGTTGAAGGAGCTAGCATCCCTGAAAGAGGATACGGCCAACCGGTAAGCGTGGCTGGGTGGAAGTTGACCCCTTGTTTAGGAAGAAGCAGCAGGAGGAAGTGATAAGAGACATTCTCATTAAGATTAGATGAACAGAGTTGGAAGGGACCTTGTAGGTCATCTAGTCCAATCCCTGGCCCAAGCAGGAGACCCTACTACACCCCAGATGAGGGCTCTGCATCAGAGGCAGGGATGGGGCCAGGGCTTGCTGGCAGTCATCGGCTGCCTTCAGGCTCGGACAGAAGTGAGGCAGTGGAGTTTCTGGAGCCGGTTCCCAGCGTGTGCATGCACAGAGCTGCCAAAAGGAAAGAACAATTACGAACTCAGGGTCGACGTGGGAGTAAGGCCACAGGTGGGCGGTGAATGGCCCCTCCCATAGGGATTAAAAGAGGAGCAAAAGGGGAGGGGGCCTTTTGCAGGAAACAGTTCATTTCATCATTGTGAAGATCTGTCTGTGCATCCTCGAGACTCTATGCTAAGCCCTTCCTTGTCAGCACTGTGTTTGGAAATATTTACTGGGCAGCTTTCCAAGATAGATAAGGACTGAGCTAATAATTATACCTTTACAAGACTGTTTGCCAGGCCTTTGGCTGAATGTGAAGGTAAGAAATTCACATTTGTTTAATTGGTCAGGACAAAGAGTGTTTTTGGGGGAAGCCTAGGTCAGAATAAATGGGGCCGGATAGTTTGTGGTTCGACACTAGCTAGGCAGAATTGTGGTGCCAGAGAAAAGAGGTAGGGTGTGGCAGTGAGTACCCCTGGACACCTTGTTTCTCCTTCTGGTAGGTTCCCAAAGTCTCCCCCCTTCAGCTGCGCGCCCTGGGTCTCCCTGCCCCCGAAGCACACTGCCGTGGCCTTCCTGAAGACCCACAAAACAGCCAGCACCACGGTGCAGAACCTGCTCTTCCGCTTCGCCGAGCGCCACAACGTGACGGTGGCCCTGCCCCACCACGCCTGCGACCACCAGTTTTGCTACCCTCACAACTTCTCGGCCCGCTTTGTCCACCCATACACCCTCCCGCCCCGTCTCATCGCCAGCCACCTGCGCTTCAACCGCGAGGAGCTGCGCCACCTCATGCCCAACGACACCGTCTACATCACCATCCTGCGCGAGCCGGTGGCCATGTTTGAATCCCTGTTCAGCTACTACAATCAGTACTGCCCAGCGTTCCGGCGAGTACCCAATGGATCCATGGAGACCTTCCTGGACAACCCATCCCAGTACTATCGGTCCCATGAGAAGTATGCCATGTATGCGCACAACACCTTGGTGTACGACCTGGGGGGAGACCCCGAGCACAGCCCCGAGGACTCTGCCTACCTCCCCAAGTTTATCCGTCAAATAGAAGGGATTTTTTCCCTGGTGATGTTGGCCGAGTATTTTGATGAATCCTTGGTCCTTCTCCGCCATCTTCTGGCCTGGGACCTGGAGGACATTCTCTACGTCAAGTTGAACATGCGCAGCTTGGAGTCCAAGCTCAACATCACCTCGGCCCGCGTAGCTGCCCAGATCCGCGCCTGGAATGCCCTGGACGCCGGACTCTACGACCACTTCAACGCCACCTTCTGGAGGAAGCTGAGCAAGATGGACCACGGTTGCCTCCAGAAAGAGGTCCGGGCCCTTCACCAGGCCTGCGAGCGCCTGGCACGCCACTGCTTTCGCGGCCAGCCCCAGCTGCGCCCGGCCATGCAGATTAAGAACAAGGACCTCCGGCCGTGGCAGCCCAGTGCCAAGGTGGACATCGTGGGCTACGACCTGCCGGGATCAGGGCCCCACTCGGACGAGCAGTGTCTCAAACTGGTCATGCCTGAGGTGCAGTATTCCCGCTACCTGCTACGGAAGCAGAGCCTCAAAAACCGCCGCTGGGCCGTCCCCCATCGGCCCCTCTCGCCCCGAGGACTCCTACCGCCACCTCCGCACCCGGCCGTCAAAGCTTCCTGAGCAGGAGGATGGGCGGTGGGCGGTGGGGCCTTCAGGAGGCCACTGGGTTAAAAAGCTGTGCAGGGCGGACGGCTGTTGGAGTTCTCTTGTCAATCAAGCTGTGATTATTTCTTTTTTGTTCTTTTTTCCCTTCTGGGTCTCTAGAACTTTTTTTTTGACCCAGTTTTATCCACTTAAGAACTCAGGACTGAAGCATCTAGGCGAGCGGGACTCTCCTTTTAGATGCCCCAAAGGAGCTGGATATAAATCGTGGCCCATTTTCAGCAGCCAGGACTTGGAAACGATGAATGGGTTCTGCGGATTGGCTTGCTTCTTTTCTTCCTTCCTGCTTGCCTTCTTCTTTTTTCTCCTCCCTTCCTCCCCTCCCTTTCTTCCTTTTCTCCTTCCTTCCCTTCTTTTCCTCCTTCCCTTCCTTTCCTCCCTTTCTTCCCTTTTTCATTTTCATTTCTTTCCCTTCCCTCCCTCTTCCTTCCCTTCCCTTCCTTTCTTTCTTTTCCCCCTTTTCCCTCCTTTTTTCCTCTTCCTCTCTTCTCCTTTCCTTCCTCTTGTTGTC